TTGGAAGCCAGGTGACTTACTATGAAATCTTAAATTCTACTTTTTTTCTTCTCTTGGTGTGTGTGTGTGTGTGTGTGTGTGTGTGTGTGTGTGTGTGATGGGGTGTATGCATTTGACTAGGAAGGTACTTGCATGTGGAAGCCAGAAGGGACTTCGATGTCTTCCTCCATCATCTCTGCCTTGTTGTCTTGGACAGGGTCTCTCAGTGAACTGGAAATCCACATTTGGACTAGGTCAGGTGGCCAGGAATTCTTAGCACACGCCTGCCACTCTCGCAGTGCTGGGGTTTCAGGCACACAGGACCATGCTCAACTTCTTAGGCGAGTACTGAGTACTGAGGATGTGAATTCAGATTCTCAGGCTCACACAACACCCACGGAGCTAGCTCTCCAGCTCCAAATTCTATTAGCGTATTGAAATTTCCTTCAAAAGCAGGGACTTCGAACCCTGACCACTCAGAAAGCTGAAGATTGCAAATTCAAGACGTACCTGGGTAACTCAGCATGACCCTGTCAAAAAGGAAGCCAGCCGATGGGGATGGGGATGGGATTGTTTAAATCACACAGAAGAGACAGTGAAAAACCCAAGGCGAGTTGCCTGCCAGTCTTGTCAGTGTTTGCGGAGCAAGAACTCAGAGATGCTACTAGAAGGGGGCGGGTGCAGAAAGTTATTTATTTTACGTTTAGAGAACAGAATTTGGGCTCTGGAGCAAGGCCAATCCAAGTCTGAAGCCTGGTTCCTGTAGTCAGCTGCCTGCCCTTAGGCAAATCTTTCTCCCTCTCTGATCCTTAGTTTATGCCTTAGTTAAGCCTGCCTTTGCTTTTGTGCAAAATGAGAATTAATGCCACAGACCTGGAAAGATAAAGGAGACAGGCACCAGACACGGGCCTCACAGAATGCACATTTACTGGGTGGCATCTTTTGTGGGAGTGGCTTTTTATTATCAGACACGTCATATTTTCTCAGTTTCTGCATTAAAGCACATTCACAAGTTTCATTTGTGTTACTTTCAGGCATGGAAGTTTCTTTTTCCTTCTGTTGTCATAATTCCATACAGAAATTTCTAGTTGATAGTCAGGCGTCTCCAAAACCCTCCCCTCCATGCAGAATCATCTCAAATCTTTGGGTTTCTGTCCATTAGGATATAAGCAGTTTCAAGGTTTCCCCATAGCCCTCCCCCATCCTCTTGTCCTTATCTTCCCTTCCAGTCTGGATCCAGCTCCTTCCTCACCTGGCAGTCAACCATCCCCAGGAGCTGTCAATTTTGTTATCTCGACTTCTTCACTGGTTTCCCTCCAAGGGAGGCATCCCCCAAACTGCTCTAGCTAAGGTCACCTCCCTGATGTCAAATCAAAGGGCAGCTGTGGTACTCAGGGAACAGTGGCACCTTAACAGAACTCATTGCCAGGAATCTTAACCTGCCTCCTCCCCCTAGGAGGTTTCCTGGTTGCCAAGACTACTGCTCTGGCTTTCCCGCAGTCCTTCAGTACTGGGCTTCCCAGCGCTCTCACGAGCTCTCCTTGGACAACCGCATCTGTTCCCACAACTCCACTCCACTCGTCTTGGGCCTGATCTGTTCCAGTCATGGTGTCTTCTGACTACCAGGCCATATTTACTCATCTCCTAGGAAGTTTCTCTTGAATGATTTACGGACAGCGTGTCCAACACAGAAATCTTTACAAACCAGAAGGGGTTCCCTAGTTCAGTAAATGCTGCTATCTAATCAGGTCAGAAATTTGGGTTTAATCCTTCAATCCCCCTTTTCCTCTAACATCGAATCAGTCCTCAAGCTAACTCTGCCTGCTAACTACTCTTGGGATTGTCCCCTTCTCTCTGTTGGCCCTGCCTCGGTTCGATCACCACGGTTGCTACAAGACTCCAGCCAGACTGCCCCACCTCCACACGGCATATACAAGACCCTGAACAATGTGACAGAGGAATAATAACAGAAAGGACGAATGAACAGTTAGTTGTTGAGCTGTGGAGTATCCTTTATACTGATCACTTCCAAGTTTGCCTAGCTAGTCTCATATTGGGGGTGGCTGGGGTATTTCTAGTTTATGCTGTTATAAATAGACTTGCTAAGGACATTTTCTTTGTCCACTATTGGACGATTTCCTTGGGATATTTTCTTGGGAATGGAATTACCAGTGAAAGGCTATGATTAGCTCTAAAGCTCTCATTATACATTGCCAGCACTCAAAAGGCTGGGGCCCGAGGGCCACTGTTTAAATGCCATATGCTACCTGAGAGTCTCTCCTGGGGCTCCTCGGCTTCTCACTTCACTGGGTTAGTGGGTTGACAGTGCAACCGTAACACTGTTAAAGTGTGTACTTTTCAGGTGATGATTTGCTAGACACGTACTCTTGACAAGCAGATTACCATCTCAAGCGACACACTCCCCAGTTTGCAAACAGTTCTCACTTCTATTTCATTTTGACTCAGAAACTTCGGTTTCCTTTTGACCAATTATAAAATAGAGAAAATGAAGTAAGTAAAAGCATGCCCGGTGTGGGAGGCGTAAGTTTTAGGCTTGTCAGGAAATGCTCTGCTGGGTCCCTTTTGCCTGGGGATGGGTTACAAATGGAGCCTGCAGCTCACCGTTGGAGTTCCATGATGAATCCAGCTGTGGAAACAGCACGGTCAAAGGCCTGGGGGCAGGAGACCCCTAAACGCCCATTATTGGGATGGGACAGTGTGAGTTTGGATTTCGATTGGCTCTGGGTCCTAAGCATTCTATTTAGTCTATTTTGGTGGCTAAACTGAATCACAAACTTTTCATTTACTATGGGGAAGGACAATCCACTTCAGTTCAGGTCTTTCAGGGATCTGCTTCATCCAGCTGGACCCCACCTTCTGAAGTGTTCCCCACTTCCCAACACACACACATCTGTGCTGACACCTGTACCAGGTGGTGGAAGGTGAAAATGAAGTCAAAGGATTCCGCCATCTGAATTTTGAAATAATAAAAAAAGAGTATTCGTTTACTCAAAAACAAAGAAGTCAACTTTAGCTTTATATTTACGACTTAAAAGACAGAGATCCGGAGAAAAGGGAGGCAGCTGGTTGAAATATGCTAATTCTACATTTAAGAACAAATCAGAAAAGACATATAGAAAGAAAATTACTTTCAGTGGAATGCAGAATATAAAGGAAGGCACGAAATAAACTTGTGAGAAAATGGCAATACCATTAAGTATACAGGTAGTTTTTTAAAGAAAGTATCAAACAATGTATCATATACATCACACATCAGCTGCCACCACTAGCTTCATTTGGGCCTGGCGGCTAACAACTTAGAAGACTTTCCCAGGAGTGGCTTCCCTAAGCATCTCTCTGACATGTGCTACGCAGTTTTAACTCCTTGTTCAAAGACACAGAGAGGTAAGAAAGAGCCAACTATGTGTGTCTCCAGTCAAGGCCACGCAGTTGTGCTGTCATTTCCGGCAACTGCCCTCTGCGATTTGTGTTCTAGGATCCTCTGACTTAAATCTAAACCATAGCCATTCTGTCTAGCAAGCCACCTTCTGTTCAGATGGCTGGTCCAAAGAACTGCATGTAGATAATAAGGAGCACTGTTAGTTCAACTTTGAAATGGGATTTTTCTATACTGGAAGAATATAAGCAAAGTGTTTTTTCTAAAGATAAGGACGCTGATGGGTTGGAAAGAGTAGACATTATTTACAAAACCACACTGGCACACCAAAAGACCACCACCCACCCACCACACACACACACACACACACACACACACACACACACACACACACACACACACACACACACACGAGTGTCTTGGAGACAGGGTCTCAAATGTATTTCAGGCTGGTCTCCTACTCATGAGTTCCCTGCCTCAGGCTTCTGTGTGCTAGGATTACAAGTCTACACCATGCTGCCTGGTTTGCCAGTGTTTTTTTTTTTTTTAAACTGAATTAAAGAAACCCTGAAAGTGAGGTTCTTTTTGCTTTTTTAAACAGGGATAGAGAGCATAATATGAATTAAGTCGATAATGACCTGAGTGATTTTGTTCATATAAAATAATAGACACATAAATCTATTCTATCTGAATGCTATGTGTGCAATACCTCTAAATAAGAGTGAACACAAAGTGACACTTGTCTGTTCTCCTTTATTAATTGGGTCTTTCTGAGTCTAGTAATCACACACACCTCTGCATTTTAATCACCCCAGATCCACTTAATGGGGCAACTATTTAACAGCTCAAAGACTAGATAACAGGATTCTGTCAAGGTATCAGCAATGCCCAAACTCTTTCCTTTCCAACTCGACTGTTGTTATTTTAGATAGGGTCTTTCTTTGCAGCCCAGGCTGGCTTTGAATTCATGGCCCTCCTGCTTTAACTGCCTGCATGCTGGGATTGCAGGTGTGCACCGCCATGCCTAGGTCTCCTGTGTTTTTAACTGAGTGGTTCACAGCACATGTGACCTTAGCACATGCGACCTCTTCTGAAGCCTTTAGAATCAGAGGCAAGGCAGATAAAAGGGGAAGGATGGAGTTTGATGTAACAGTAGACCCTTTAAAGTTCCAGTGTCTGGTTATACATAGGTGAATTACTTCTAACCTAATAGTCGCTTTAATCTGGAAACCTCCTCTTCCCCACACACCAGCCATTGCCAGTAAATCTTCCTTTTCTTTTTGTCTTCCTTTTTATTTTTTAAGATTTGTTTATTTATTTATTATGTATACAGTGTTCTGTCTGCATGTATTCTTGCAGTCTAGAAGAGGGCGCCAGATTTCATTACAGATGGTTGTGAGCCACCATGTGGTTGCTGGGAATTGAACTCAGGACCTTTGGAAGAGCAGCCAGTGCTCTTAACCTCTGAGCCATCTCTCCAGCCACAATCTTCCTTTTCTAAAGTTGTCATTATGTTTGTTCCCATGAGACCTTCTGTGGAGAGTCCTGCGTCAGGATGAGTGTAGCAAAGACCAACCACCAGCCATATTTCCATGCTGTGCCTATGCAAGAACCGGACTCTCACCTGAATGAGGAGATCGGTAGCGGAAATCCTCTTTGGTCAGTAGCAGGAGCGCCTTGCCGTTCATCTCAAAACTGTTACTCTCAATGGGCCTTAAGGAAAACTCATTCTCTGCCCACTTGAGCCACTGGGCTACGTCATCTCTGCTCCAGTAAATCGGCTGCAAGCCTGTTGGAGAGCAAGAGGCAGACAGCTTGTCAGTCACACTGTTGGGACAAAGGGAGAAAGGTCTTAGAATAATTAACAGAACTGAGACTTTGTCTCAAGAGCCTTTGAGTTGAGTTCCAAGGCCCGGGTTTCTAAGTACTCAAGTATGGTTCACATTAACTTTTTACTTAGAGGCAAAATGATGGGAAACCCCTTTCCTATCAGGGATGATAGGTCTTAGAGGCCTGCCCTTGGGGCTGCACTAAGGTCAGGTTGGCTCTAAGTGGCCTGGGGCATCCTAGGAGGACTGAAATCATGACAAATCTCAATGTATTTAGCAGGAGACCTTAGACTCAGAGCTGATGTGATTGTAGCTCAGAGTCTTTGAAATGGAAGTGTTCCAGAGCTGGCCTTGACCCCCACAGAGCTGCCAAAAAATGAAGCATCTCCTGAAACCTTTTCCAGGAAGAGTCATTTACTCAGCCTCTGGGAAGTGGCAGGCTAGCCTCTGGCCAATGCAAAGTCAGAGAAACACAGATGGTCCTCTGCCTTATTATTTGTCTTGCTGATGGACTGGAAGTGGGCTAGATGCCACCCACACGGTGGTTCAGGTTGCATCTCTGGGAGGCAGAGTCCATATTTTTATTTCACTTTGCTGCTATGGGGAACTCTGATACGCCCTTCAAGTGATTAGAACAGTTCTCAAAGTGTGAACGAACCCTGGGAACCCCAAGGGTTCCCAAGACCCTTGCACAGTGTCTGTGCAGCAAAACCACTTCTCAGAACAATATTAACATTATTTTCTTTTTTTACTCTCGTCCTGTCATGAGCACACATGGAATGTTCTAGGAGCTACATGACCTGTGGCATCACAGCAGGCTGAATAAATACAGAGATGTAAACCCAGGCATCTTCTATTAACCTGGACATTGAAGAGGTTTGTAAGAGCATATAACACTACTGTTGTTTGCACATATCTTTTGAAAATATGCTTCAAATATACATTGATATATGCCTAGTTTGTTGATCAATAAGTTAGTAAATACTTTAAAAAGTAGTTTACGGGCTGGGCGTTGGTGGCGCACGCTTTTAATCCCAGCACTTGGGAGGCAGAGGCAGGCAGATCTGAGTTCGAGGCCAGCCTGGTCTCCAGAGTGAGTGCCAGGATAGGCTCCAAAGCTACACAGAGAAACCCTGTCTCAAAAAACCAAAAAAAAAAACCCGTCCCCAAAAACAAAAAAAAAAAAAAAGAAAAAAAAAAAAAAAAAAAAAAAAAAAGAAAGAAAAGAAAGAAAAAGAAGTAGTTTACAATATGGTAAGTGTTGCGTTAAGTCATATGAGCAAAAGCACTTTTATGGTGGGGGACGGGGTTTGGGGAGAACAGTCTTTGATAATTATTTAGAACTTAAGTCCTGGCAGTACAAGGTCTGCAGGACTCCATTCTCCAAAGTCACAGAACCAAGAGTTCAAAGAGAGCTCAGTGGGACCAGAGTTTGTGCAGAGATGTGGTATATGTCTTACAAATGTGCCCTCCAGCTCAGTCCTGGAACAAACCACTTCCCCCCCTAAACTGACCATGGTGAAGTACTGTCTAATCCCTTGGATGCCCGGGCTGCTCAGAGTGGGGAACAAATGGGTCAGATCCCAGGGAGAACGTTCCAGGCTCTGACCATGATTGCTTCCAAGAGGAAGATAGTTTTGAAGAACAGAAGTCAGTGTCGTTTAAGTCCCCAGAAGACTCGGGAGACTCCTTACAACCAGCCAATTGGAGGGTCTGGGAACACAGCTACTTGGAAAGTAACGCAAGGCCATGCATGACTGCCTGGGCTGCAGAGTGAGTTCAAGGTTAGCCTGTAACTCAGTGAGAGCCTATCTCAAGTCCAAAGAGAGCTGGGGTTGTTGTTCAGTGATAGCATGTGTGAGGCCCAGGATTCACTCCCTACTATCATAAAATCAAAACCACCAATCCAACCCAAACCCAAAGAATTTGAGTGTGCTTTCTTGGCTTTTAATTTTTACAGCAATGTTTTTCACATGGCCGAAACAAGCTACTGTAACACGTGACTGCTTTATGACAGAAGGAAACAGGACTGCTAAAGGATCTGAGGTTTGCTTTTGTCTCTTGACTGGTCAGAAAGCAATGCCTATCCAGAATGGTTTCTGGGCATAGAAAGTTTCCATCTCTTGTTAGTAGAGGCTACCCTGGGAAAACCTTCCACTTTACTTCCTACTGTCTACAATGCCCACTTGGGGCAAGAACAGCACGCCAACTTGTGATTTCAGACATTACTGGTAAGTGGGAGGGTAAGGCCATCAGGGGAAGGGTGGAGGTTCCAATCAGGCAGCCCCAGGAAAGCACCTTGTGGCCGGAGGGCTTTTGAGGCCATGCAGGGAAACAGGGTCTGGGGCAGCTTGCTGGGATGTCAAAGTAAATACAGAACCAAAGCCTGCCTGGGAGGGGAAATGAGTGTAAAATGCTGACTTTCTACCAGGACAAACTGAAACAGAGAGGTGGGTGAGAAGGGGGTGGGGCCCCAAGCAGGAATTTGAGGTTCTTTATATTCTATGGAAGAAAATCCTCATGAGTAATCCTTTCCCTAAATACAAGAAGAGGCACACACTCCCAACAACACTGCTGGGCAAGAATAACAGTTTCTCTTCTCACTTCCCATTAATCTCTCCCACAGCTCAGCCTTGAAGCGACCAAGGCCGTGGTGCTGTGGAAATCCCCTCCCCAGGAGCCCACGAGGAGGCTCTGGGCACAAGTACAGCTGGACAGCAGGTTACAGAGAGCACTTGGCAGCTAAACAACAGCGACCCTGATGCTGCAAGCAACCTGCTGGAGGACACTTAGGGAATGGATCAGCTTCATTGCACTTCCATTATCGGAAGGAGAAGGTGGACAGCTCATGGAGCCAGAGACAGGCTGGCTATGCAGTAGCGTTGCGAGTCAAGTCCCTCTGCTATTTCTTTTTTAATTCAATGGTATAAAAAGGCTAGGCGATAGCATGTGCTGTGTAATTTTAACGGAGGAAAGAGAACCCGCTCCCTTCAAGGGTCCTAAAGCCCGGATGCTGAAGAGTAATGGAATAGAGGTGGTACCCGGAGGTAACTCTGGTGTGATGGAGATGGTTTAATTTACTAAACAATCATTTATGAAGCATGTTTATGCACCCAGCTCTGTTCCAAGCATTTCAGAAATATCAGTCTATTTGTCTGCATGCTTGGACAACATTTGTGATGGAGGTGCAAACTAGGAAACGGAGGCCCAATGCGTTTAAGATTCACCCCATGCTTGTACAGTTCTAGCAACAAGTGGGGCTGAGATACGAATCCAGAGTCTGTTTTCTTACCCAGGCATTTTCCATCCACACTCAGAGCTAAGACTGGCTTTCAAAAAGACTGAGGAAACCGACTCCTTCCCACCCAACACTGAGATCCTTGGCCGAGGCAAGTTATCAGCAGATTGAAGATAGAAAAAAAAAAAAAAAAAACAACTCTGCAGATCCCAGAGAGACAGATTTCTGGCTTGGAAGATGAGGGAGGGGCAGGTGGGATGCTACTTTGAATGTGTCTGGGAAGAGAGTGCTGTTTTCACAGCCTGACACTGGCTCTTGACTTTTTGCCCAATTCTCCACTGTGGGTGGGACCAGGGCTGCCTGGAAAGGGAGGGATGTGTAGGATTTGTTTCAAAGTCAGTTGTGGCAATTTGGCTCAACAAAGAAAGAATATATATGCTAATTATTAGGAACGAGGGGAGAAGGAGAGAGATTGATTCTTAGATATTACCCTGTGTGAACCAATGTGCCACAAGAGCCATTTAACCAGAATTCTTAACACACTAATTATCTTCAGAGAGTACTTGGTGAGAATTTTGTATGGAGGACCTGAATTTCTGTGTAGGAGAAAATTACTAAGACTCCCACCAGCCTTCTTTCCTAAGGAGGTCCAGTCAAGTTCATGGGCTCACACCCTTCAGAGATACATCCAGACTACTGATTTCTTCAATTCCATATTCAAAGATGGCCACCACATCCATCAGGGCATCCTCAGCTCATGTCCAACTTTCTGGGTTAAGCTTAAACTAACGAGGGAAAGCTGATCTGGAGTCAGGGGATGGGATTCCATTCCCACATCTTCTGCTAATGACCATGGGATTCTAGGAAGCCCACTTTGTTTCTCTGTGGCTCAACGGCTTCATCTGTAAAAATATGGGGCTTAGAATATTCGATCAACTAATTCCTACAGGGTCTAATATAGCCAGTGTGTACCTGCTGAGTTTGAACCTCAAACATGAAAGAATTCAGCTAGCCAAGATGTTTGTTTTCCTACAAAACTACTCTACATTCGTGATCATGACCTAAAGATTTTGTAACTTCTTGAAGGTTCTTCTGTGTCATGGAAGGTGGAATAGTGCTCCAGAGTGTGTTGCTATGTTCCAATTCTTTGCAAAGCTGTCTGCCAGCATGGCAATAATAAACATAACAGCTTGCCCTTTTGAAGTCCATAGGCACTTCCACGTGTTACCTCCTTTAATTGACAGGGGCTCTGTAATTGGCTGGGTTCTTATTTTAGTTTAACAGACGAAGAAATAGAAGGCTCAGAGTTGATGGACATGGTTTGAACATTATTATGCTCAAGTTCCTTTTCTCTCTGTCTCTGTCTGTCTGTCTGTCTGTCTGTCTGTCTGTCTCTCTCTCTCTCTCTCTCTCTCTCGCTCTCAT